CAGAAGCTAAGCATGTTTTTGGTAGAAAGTGGGTAACCCACCTTAACTGCTTCTTTTTAGCAACCCAACAGTTTGGTTGCTAAGCACCCCATAGGCACCCAAATACTTTTCGCCGAAACTGTGAAATGACGTAGACTGAAAGCTGCTTCTGCTTGCAGATGGGGCCGTTTCCGAGCAGCTCTTGCTTTTAAAGCGAAATCTTCTCTTCCTAAGGCAGTAGCAAACCTGGGGGGGAACCTGCAGTTCTATCTAGTAAGGTGAAACCCTTCTTTTTTTTCCCAGCATTAACATAATAATAACAGCTTAGTTTGGGGGAGAGAGCCAGCAAGTTTGCCTTATTTTGCAAAGTATTAGCATACACTATGACACAAAGCCTTCTTTGCTTTGGCTCTTCTAAACTTGTAAGAAAAGCTGTGTGTCGCCCATCCCAATTTCCTGCTCCAGGAAAGGAACTCCCCCTAGCCCTTTGTTGAGCCAAAAAAGTATTTTATTAAAACTAAAATGGTTACAAGAGCAGCAAAGCTGGATCTGGCATTTTCGCATGCAAAAGATGCAATTAACTTTCCCTTTTCCCTGGCTATTCCCTTGTTATAAGCTAATATCCAATTAGGTGGTTAGATTTTGCTTGGGGAAGGACCTTTGGTTCGCAATTCAGATGTTTGGATTGGCTGATGCTTCTAACGCCTTGGGCTGGCATGGCTTGATTTCTATCCCACCCCGCTTCCTCCTTACATTCCAATCCTTTTCTTCTCTTCCCCAATTGATAATGTCAGGCTTTCAGCTTGCAACAGTTGGCTTGCAGAATGTCAGCCATGACACTGTGTGTTTTAGACTTTGTGCACTTTAATTGTCAGGATGAAGGAGGGAAAAGAAACAGTCCAGGTTTTAGCAGCTTCTCTCGTTGCATCTTCCTAAATCCCCATTGGCCAAAATGAAAGAGCAGCATTCTTTCTGCTCTTGTTGCAAGTGGCATCTTCACTTTAGCAGTAATTACCCACTCAGTGAAGAGAAGCAGCCTACTCCTGAGAAAACTGAAGGTATTTTATGAATGTATGGGTGGAGTAGGTATAGGGGCTCATTCATAGAGCGGGATCCACTTAACAAATCCTCGAGGTACAAATGTAATCGGCAGGCTCCATTACATTCGTAGCTCAAGGATTATCTGTATATTGCAATTTCGCAAAAATGTAGAAGGTAATTCACTTGACTTTCTACAGTTTGATCTTTTCTCCTAATCTTGTTATCATTTTCATTTCTCTTTTCCTTTGGAGGTAATAATGGGCAGGAGAATAAAAATTCTGAGGAGCCATTCCAAGTGATCCACCATGAAGAAAGAATAAAGAAGCGTATAGCACAAATGGAAGAAGAACATTATGAGAGAAACCAGTTGAATAATAGGAATCAGGAGAATTCATCAACCATTCATACTTCAATGCAAGATCTTCTTCTCCATCAAGGGACAATAAAGAAGAAATGCATTGGGAAAAGTGTAAAGTTAATCAAAGCTCAATTGCATGTAAATGAACACTGTCCAGTCCAAAACAAAGGTGAAGATGCCTTAAGTAGACACAATGGGACTTTCCCTCTTTCTCTTGGAAATAAGTCCCTTACATCTCAAAAAGGGATTGACAGAGAAGAGAAGCCATATAAATGCTTAGAATGGGGAAAGAATTATAGAAAAAACAGGCAACTTACTGTCCATAAAAGGATTCACACAGGGGAGAGGCCATACAAATGTGTTGACTGTGGAAAACTCTTCTGTCGAAAGTCTTCCCTTACTTATCATCAAATGATCCACATAGGGGAGAAGCCATTTAAATGCATGGAGTGTGGAAAGATATTTAGTCGGATTGATTATCTTACTGCCCATCAAAGAATTCACACAGGAGACAAACCATTTAAATGCATGGATTGTGGAAAGACCTTTATTCGAAAAAGTAATCTTAATGCCCATCAAAGAATCCACACAGGGGAGAAGCCATTTAAATGCATAGAGTGTGGAAAGACCTTTGCTAATTGCAGTCAACTTACTGTGCACAAAAGGATCCACATAGGGGAGAAGCCATTTAAATGCATGTCCTGTGGAAAGACCTTTGCACAAAGCGCTCATCTTTCCTCCCATAATAAGATCCACACAGGGGAGAAGCCATTCAAATGTATGGAGTGTGGAAAGACCTTTATTTTGAACAGTCGTCTCACTGCGCATCAAAGGATCCACACAGGGGTGAAGCCATTTAAATGCATGGAGTGTGGAAAGACCTTTTTTTGGAACAGTCATCTTATTGTCCATAAAAGGATCCACACAGGGGAGAAGCCATACAAATGTATGGAGTGTGGAAGGACCTTTGGTCAGAGCAGCCATCTTACCTCTCATAAAAGGATCCACACAGGGGAGAAGCCATTTAAATGCATTGAGTGTGGAAAGACATTTAGTCGGAATGATCTTTTTACTATCCATCAAAGGATTCACACAGGAGAGAAACCATATAAATGCATGGAGTGTGGAAATATCTTTATTTCGAAGCGTCATCTTACTGTCCATCAAAGAATCCATATGGGAGAAGCCATTTAAATGCATGGTGTGTAGAAAGACCTTTGCACGAAGTGCTCATCTTTATTCCCATAATACGATCCACATGGGAGAAGCCTTTTAAATGTATGGAGTGTGGAAAGACCTTTGTCCAGAGCACTCATCTTTCCTCCCATAGCAAGATTCACACAGGGTAGAAACCATATAAATGCATAGAGCGTGGAAGGGCCTTTGGTCAGAGCAGCCATCTTACTTCCCACAAAATGGGAGAAGTCATTTAAATGCATGGAGAATGGAAAGACTTTTGCTCAGTCCAGTGGTCTTACTTATCATAAAAAAATCCACATAGGGGAGAAGCAATTTAAGTGAATGGAATGTTGAAAGAACTTTGCTCAAAGCAAGAGTCTTACTTTCCATAAAAGGATACACACGGGAGAAGTCATTTAAATTAATGGAGTGTGGAAAGAGTTCTACTCGAAGCGGTCACCTTTGTTCCCATAGTGAAATCCTCACGGGGTAGTCACATAAATGCATGGAGTATAGAATGACCTTTTAACTAAGAGGTCAACTTACTTCCCATTAGATGGTCCACACAGGGAATAAAACACAAACGCATGGAGTGCAGAAAGTATTTCAATGATGAAGTTTCCACCCTCGGGACAAACCTTACAACTGCATGGAATGGAGAAAGAGCTTCAATGATAGTGTTTCTTCTAGAGAGAAAGTGTAGATTTCCAACCTCAAAGTGAGTGTAAGATAGAGATCAGAAAGAATACAAAGTAAGAATGGAAATGAAAGTTATGTTATAAATAGACGTAAATATGTAAGTAAATATATAAATAGTATAAAATGCAATATGTAAATGGTATAAAATATCAATGACTAGGAAGATATATGGTATATGGTATAGTATGTATGGCAAAATAACAGCCAGAAAAGTCATACTGTTCAACCTGTTTTAAAATGTTTACTTAATAAAAATTTATTTTAAAAAAAGATAATGTTTCTTCTACTTACCATAACAAGATGCACTTGGAAAAAATGATGTGAATGCATGGAGTCCATCAATGGAACCACACAAGAATATCCTTATCAATTCAGAGCCTCAACAGGAATAGTAATCTAAAATCTAATACAAGGGTCTATTTGGATAATAATCCTTACAAATACTAGGCCTACTTTGATATGATCCAAATAAGACAAGGTGAAGGCTCAATCCTTTCTTATGCTTTTAGCTAAGTATCTAAGTCAAAAATGAGAACCAGTGGAGATTAAGGGCATTAATAGGTCTGAAAGTGATATATAGATAAAAGTATTTAAGTGATGCAGGTTCCCCAAGAAATGATGAATATATCCACAAGAGCAAAGTTGCATGTAAAAATGCAATTGGTCCTGAATCCCTTATTATAGTTTGAGCTTTCCTTTACTTAATCTTGTCACAATCCGCCTTTCCACCCTGTGTCACATTATGTAATGCAAGTAATAGCTGAGAGAGAAAACCTGGAGAATGGGGTTATAGTGATGCTGAATTAGAAGATGCAATTCATAGGCTGTGTCCTAACTGTAGTGATCTTTCCTCACCTCTCATGTTGGCTCCAAAATAATAGTAAAGAGAGAACTAAAGTGTGCTGCTGTAAGACAAACTGAAGTAATAGCAAAGGGAAGGTACTTTCGGAAACAGCCCAGAAATACAGTTGGGATAAGCACTCCTGCTATGTGTGGGAGACGTCTGCTACATCTCATCATGCTGCCGATCACAAAATAGTTACTGCTTCTTGGACATTAAAATAATTGAACTCAAGACTTGTTTCTGCTGTGTAAAATAGGGATAAGAGATAGGCAATAGAAACAGTATTTTTAAGTGGAAAGTTTTTGGCAGGGTTCCGAATGATGAAGCCAACCAAGCAAACACCTTCGAGACATTCTGATTTCTTAATGTAAATATTAAGTATGTCTCTTCGTCACAACTGAAAGCAAAACCAGTTCTGGCCTGACCCACCCAAACCCCAGGTCACATTGCCCAAACAAGATGGAAGTTATGACCCAGGAGGGAAAGACTAGGTAGGTCTCCAGAGAGTTGTTTATTTGTCTTGGGAAGGTTAAACAAACGGCCCTCCACTGACCAGTGAGGGCCCACTTTCAGTCTCCCGAACATAGAATACCCAATATGTCCCCAAGGCAGAAGTCCAGGTATTAGGCAAGGGCAGTCTTTAGAGCAAGGCAAAGCTCCAATTCATACTCCTCTGCTTTTTGAGGGGTTATTGATCCTGGTGGCAGTGGAGCCTGTCAATGCAGACTATTGCCTGCACACCCCATCCCACACAGCCCCCCCCTAACATGTCAACTTGTCTGCAAAACCCTCAGTGAGCAGAAAGGGGAAAAAGGCTTTTAAAGAAAAAGTTGTTTAAGAATTTAATAGTAAATGTTTCTTCTCAGAATTCATCTTCCTCACTCCCATGTCCATCACAACCAAACCAGGGGCCTATCTCCACATAAGACCCATATGTTTTCATTTCCCCTCATGATATCTGAGATTCATATTCCTTTTCCCTTATTTTCTTCCTTTTTGCAATTCCACTCTCCAGTCACAGAGGAGACGCCATTTGCCCCCATTTTCTCCACCGAGCAGCGTCGTTGTGAGGTAAAATTTCTGGAATATCTATCAGTTTGAGCTTTTTCTCCATTTGGGGACTGGTTTTTAGATATTTCTTTTTCTTCGGCAAGCCCAAGGGGGGGCCTTTCTCCTACTCCCAAACCCATCATCCATGTCCTCCCTTCCCCTCAGATGATCTTTCTCTTTCCCGCCCTTTCGGGGAATCCTGGCACTTTGCGCCGAGCCCACAAAGGGGCGCTCTTAGCCTCAGGAGGGAACTGAGCATGCGTAAAACTCTGGCACAAGGAAAGTTCCTAGCAAGAGGTTTCTCTTTCGGTTCTTCCCCCTCCCTCCCCTGAGAGGCGGGGCGTGACCTTTGCCGGAAGCCTAGAGGTTGCCGGGAAGCTTTGCTGGAACGCGTATCTCGACGAGACTCCAGAGTTCCGTGAGTGGTGGCCTGGCAAATCTTCCCTCGGGGTGGAAGTCCGGGATCCCATGTTCCCCTGCTGCCCTTTCCCATGCAGGGGCCAGGCGGGGGAGGAGCAAAGGAGAGAAATGGGGGTCGCCAGAAGGCAGGGGCCGTTTCCCCTCATTTCCTCTGCATGGTGGGGGGTGGAGGCTTGCCGGAAATCGTCCGGACGGCTCTGGGTTTAAGGCTGGAAGTCTGAACTTCTGGAACTGGCCACGTTGGACTAAGGCTGGATTAGGCTAAGAAATGGGAAACAACCTCTGGAGACCAAAGATTAAACTAGTGTCAGATCTTCCAGAGTTCAGCCTGTCTTAGGAGGAGGATTGGACAGGACAACATCTTCACGTGTTGTTTCACTGGTTAAGTCCACACTTTCTAATTCTTGGAATTTCTTTCCATCTCAGAAATACAACCTGCAAGCCATTTGTATATCTTCAAAATTGTCTTTTGGCTAAAGGGGGCTGAATGACGTACTATGGTCAGTCCTGAGGCTAGAGGAAGAATCCTATGAATAAAAAGCATTTGGAGATCCACAAGATTCCTTGAACCCATTTGGAGTTTCATTACAGAACAGAAAAGGAATGGAGATACAACTTTTAGCAAGTGAGGGAATTGGAAAAGGCCCTTCTGCCATTCAGCTTGGAAGTTGTGGGGAAGGCTGTTCAAGAACTGGGCAGAAGATCGTACAGAAGGAAACCATCCATTCAGAAGTTCAGTTCTGGAACTTCAGGAGCGTCCAATACCAGACTCAGGGTCCCCGAGGACTTTGCAACCAAATCCACAACTTCTGTAGGCGATGGCTGAGACCAGAAAAGCACACCAAAGCCCAGATGCTGGACCTGGTTGTTCTGGAGCAGCTCCTGGCTATCCTGCCCCCAGAGATGGAGAGCTGGGTGCGGGAGTGCGGAGCAGAGACTAGCTCCCAGGCAGTAGCCCTGGCTGAAGGTCTCCTCTTGAGCCAGGCGGAGGAGAAAAAAGAGCAGGTTGAGTTGCAGGTGGGAGACCTTCAACTAGGGAACCCAGAATGGAATAAAGATTTTCTTTTAATTCTTTATCGCTCCTTCCCGGATTTGTGGAGATGTCCCACCACTTTCAGTCTCATTGATGGGTTTTGGGTGGACTTTCAGGTTGTGTTCAGAGAACAAGAATCCACTTTATGTTTTGTGATGTCCATTAATTCTTCTTTCTCCTTCCTCCTATTTCACTGTGGAGATCAGAGATCCTGAGGGAAACAGGAATCCATCAGATCCCCCTCAGGAGCTGTTTCTCAGGAGGATCTCTCAGGAAAAGGACACCTCAGGTAAAGCGAAGGCCCTCCCATAATCCAGAGAGGTCCCAGCTACCTTACCTTTTCTATCTCTTCCCTTCTGTAGAATACCTCCTATTTTGTTAATTATGATGCATTTTAAAATTCTGTATTCCTCACAGAGAAACAAAGGATGGGGTTTTCTGGTGTTTATGATGGAGCTGAAACAGTGGTTGAGCCTCCAAATCAAGTAAGTTGTGGAAATTAATTGATTAGATTTGTATTCTCCTTTCCTTCAAGAAGAGAAGCTGGTGTGCAGACCACTCCTTCCATTCCCCCTGCCCCATTTAGACTGGATTATTTTTGTGTTCCTGAGCAACATGGGAAAGGGAATAGCGGGTTCAAGTTACAACGTGGAAAACGGGTTGATGTTGCTCTCAGCCAACTTAGTTTCCTCTGAAGACTGTTGTCGTGACACAATGATTTGTCATTTCTACCCTCTAATTCTATTAGGATTTTTTTAAAAGACTATTCGTTAATTCGTTCAGCTAGCTAGTCTTCCAAATAGGCTTTTACAAGAAGTATTTTTTTAGAAAAAGTCCTTCAAGAAAAAGGAGTAAAAGTATCACAGTGGTAGCAAATGCTAAACAGAGACCCATTGAACCAGTAGTGGAATTACTTTACTGAAAGGCATTGAAAGTTCTGCAGAATCGATCAACTTGATAAAATTTGCCCAAATAGTTCTTCAGTCAAAGGTTTTTGATTGTTTATTTTCTCACATAAACCTTGGAATCCTCCATTTACTGCCATTTAACTTGGTGCATAACTTTACTCTGGGATTTGGTGAACAATGGACCAGATCTTGAGAATCCTCCTTGGGCTGTTCTGTTCCTTTTTCCTTGTTCAGGGTGACCGTGTGTCTTTTGAAGAGGTGGCTGTGTATTTCTCCAAGGAAGAGTGGTCTCAGCTGGATCCTGACCAAAAAGTACTACATAATGAAGTCATGCTGGAAAATCATACAAATGTGGCCTCTCTGGGTAAGGATTTGCTACTCATTAATCAGAGAGTTTCAGAAAGTTACCATTAGCTATTTCTTATTAATAATCCCCAACTCATTTCCTGGGAAGGAGAAGGAAACATATCTGGCTTTCTCCTGCTCCAGGGAAGGAATAGCAACAACAATAACACTTAGACTTACATATCACTCCACAGTGCTTTAGCACACTGTGTGAGTGGTGTACAATGTCAGCATGTTGCCCCAACAATCTGGGTTCTCCTGGCACTTTGCCACCAGGGCTCCTCTTATAAGATCTTTGAGACAAACATCTATGGTTGAGGAAAGAGGTCTATGGTTGTTTAGATGCTTCCTCTGCCACTTCTCATCTGCATTTTTCCATTTCTATTTCAATCTATCAGTGATAAACTAATTTCTTGTCTTGAGGAGATGCTCAGCTAAATAACACCAATATCAGCTATTTGAGCCCAGATGCTTTTTCTTATCTGTCCTAGAAAGGGTTGTCATTCTTCCAGTTCATGGGTTAATAACTTTTATTCCTTTTCATTTCTATCCTGAGTTTTGGGATTAGGGGCTAATCCCAGGTAATCCTCGAGTTACGAATGTAATGGACTCTGTCCATTCCACTCATGAAAACTCGTGTGAATCTTGTACCGTGAACGAGATCACTCCCTTGCTCATTAAGATGCATGTGGCTCGTTAAGTGAACATAAGGTATCTCAGGGTGGGGAAGGCGATGGAGGGCCTAGTGATGGAATAGGTCCCCAAGGCCTCCTCAACCCACTAAGATACCTCATGCCACCCCCTTCCTTCCTGCCATGCAAGACTGACCTTGAAAAGATCCATCTCCTCTGCCACGGTTCCTCCTGCTGCCTGGCTCTAAGGCCAGGGGACGCTTCCATGTCTCTCCAATAGCCTGATGTGGGCATCGGAGGCCTTCTCCAGATCCAGGCCGTAGCTGCCTGGGAAAGGCCTCTGATGCACTGATCCAGCCTTCAGAGGCATGTGGAAATGTCCCTGGCTTCGGTTCCGTTCTGTGTCGCAGAGAACAGAAACCTAAAGTAGTATGAGATCACGCAAGATCAGTAGCGTGAGATCTTGCCCCAGTGATCTCACGTGATCTTGCATTACTTTAGGCCTTCATTCTCTGTGAACGCACCGAAAGCCTGTAGCAGCCAAAAAAGTGAAGGATTTCAATCCTGGTGGCTAGGGAAACCGGGTGTAGAGATGGGGAGGGAGGGAATAACCAGCGTGAATGTTGCAGAGCTTCTGCGGTCGCTCATTAGGGGAAATGACTGCGGTGCTGCTGCAATATTCGTAATTTTGGGACTTACTTGTAAGCACTAATAGAAGGACCCCTGTTTCTTTCTCAGCTATGTGAGATTTTGGCAAGAGAAAATGAATAGTAAAGGGAAATTAGTTTGCATAGAAAAAAAAGGACTTGTTACAAAATTGTTTCAGTTCTCACAGGTCTCTGCTGAAATTAACCATTCCAATAAATCTTATGTTATCTCCTAAAATCTCCTTGACTGTTTCCCCTGATTATTCCTTAACTGAAAATTGACTTTAAGTGAGATTTGCATACCGTGTTTCCCTGGAAATAAGCATTAATTTGATTTTTATCCATGCGCCGAATATAAACTCTATGCCAAAAATAAGCCCTAGTTAAGACTTTGTCCTACCATCTAGTTGTTTGCAATGGGGCAGCAGAGTGCACAGTACCACCATGAGGTGAGGTGAGGCTGGTGGCGGGAAAGGTGCCCCATGCATCCCATACCCGCATACCTCAGGGCCCCCGCAACCAGACCACTCCCCACTGGTGACCTCTCCCAAGCCATTCAATGACCCGGCTGTCCACGTGCCTCTTTCCTTTCCCTCCTCTTGAGGTGGAGTGCCATATTACGGAGTATGGGTGGGAGAGAGACTTGGTCCCCTCACCCACTCTCCCTCCACTGTTTCAAAGCCAGGAGGGAGTTATGGCAAAAGGCTTCTGCCGCTGCTGAACATCAGATACTTCCGCTGCTTGGGGGGCTTTTTTAGATCCCTGCCGCCCTCCACCTGCTACTTTGGTCCTGAACACACTGCCTCACGCTTCCTGATCCCTGTTTGCCATTTCATTTGCGGCAGCTCTGAAAGCCTGCACTTCTGCATTGTCCCTGGGGTGGCAATTTCGACCACCTGGTCCTCTTCGCAGCTCTATCCACACAGCCATGCAAGCAGTAGGCAGAGCCCTGGAGGGTTGGGGAGGGTGCTGAAGCTACCAAGCATCCTGCCTGCAGCATCTGTGCCCTGGCTGCCCCTTCCGCATCAAAACTGGAATGCCACCCCATTCCAGTAGATGCCAGCTTTGCACCACCGCCCAGCTCCCATCTCTTCCCCAAAGCATTCCTTCACTAACCTGCTTTCCAGCTCGGTTGCATTTCTCCATCGGTGCATACAGAGAAACAAAAGTTTGCAAGGCTAAAAAAAAGTTCAACCAGGCCTTCCAACTTTCAAGATCTTTTTTTGTGTGTGTGTCTGAGAAGTTGGAAGATCTGATTGACTTTTTTTTTTTTTTTTTTGGGTCCCACAAACTTCCTTTGTTTTCCTGCACAGGCGGCAGTCATTGAAGGAATGGTTTGGGGAAGAGAGGGGATCTTGACAGTGATATGCCAAGCTGTCCAGCTCCACAATGACTGAGAAATGTTATGTACATGGAAAGCAGGCTAGCAAATGAATGCTTTGGAAAAGCGAGTGGAACTAGGTAGTAATGTGCCAAGCTCCCGAGCTCCGCGGGGCAGAGCAAGATGGTGAAGAGTGGAAGGTTACTATGATTTGGGGCCAGGAACAGAAGCTAAGCATGTTTTTGGTAGAAAGTGGGTAACCCACCTTAACTGCTTCTTTTTAGCAACCCAACAGTTTGGTTGCTAAGCACCCCATAGGCACCCAAATACTTTTCGCCGAAACTGTGAAATGACGTAGACTGAAAGCTGCTTCTGCTTGCAGATGGGGCCGTTTCCGAGCAGCTCTTGCTTTTAAAGCGAAATCTTCTCTTCCTAAGGCAGTAGCAAACCTGGGGGGGAACCTGCAGTTCTATCTAGTAAGGTGAAACCCTTCTTTTTTTTCCCAGCATTAACATAATAATAACAGCTTAGTTTGGGGGAGAGAGCCAGCAAGTTTGCCTTATTTTGCAAAGTATTAGCATACACTATGACACAAAGCCTTCTTTGCTTTGGCTCTTCTAAACTTGTAAGAAAAGCTGTGTGTCGCCCATCCCAATTTCCTGCTCCAGGAAAGGAACTCCCCCTAGCCCTTTGTTGAGCCAAAAAAGTATTTTATTAAAACTAAAATGGTTACAAGAGCAGCAAAGCTGGATCTGGCATTTTCGCATGCAAAAGATGCAATTAACTTTCCCTTTTCCCTGGCTATTCCCTTGTTATAAGCTAATATCCAATTAGGTGGTTAGATTTTGCTTGGGGAAGGACCTTTGGTTCGCAATTCAGATGTTTGGATTGGCTGATGCTTCTAACGCCTTGGGCTGGCATGGCTTGATTTCTATCCCACCCCGCTTCCTCCTTACATTCCAATCCTTTTCTTCCCTTCCTCAATTGATAATGTCAGGCTTTCAGCTTGCAACAGTTGGCTTGCAGAATGTCAGCCATGACACTGTGTGTTTTAGACTTTGTGCACTTTAATTGTCAGGATGAAGGAGGGAAAAGAAACAGTCCAGGTTTTAGCAGCTTCTCTCGTTGCATCTTCCTAAATCCCCATTGGCCAAAATGAAAGAGCAGCATTCTTTCTGCTCTTGTTGCAAGTGGCATCTTCACTTTAGCAGTAATTACCCACTCAGTGAAGAGAAGCAGCCTACTCCTGAGAAAACTGAAGGTATTTTATGAATGTATGGGTGGAGTAGGTATAGGGGCTCATTCATAGAGCGGGATCCACTTAACAACTCCTCGAGGTACAAATGTAATCGGCAGGCTCCATTACATTCGTAGCTCAAGGATTATCTGTATATTGCAATTTCGCAAAAATGTAGAAGGTAATTCACTTGACTTTCTACAGTTTGATCTTTTCTCCTAATCTTGTTATCATTTTCATTTCTCTTTTCCTTTGGAGGTAATAATGGGCAGGAGAATAAAAATTCTGAGGAGCCATTCCAAGTGATCCACCATGAAGAAAGAATAAAGAAGCGTATAGCACAAATGGAAGAAGAACATTATGAGAGAAACCAGTTGAATAATAGGAATCAGGAGAATTCATCAACCATTCATACTTCAATGCAAGATCTTCTTCTCCATCAAGGGACAATAAAGAAGAAATGCATTGGGAAAAGTGTAAAGTTAATCAAAGCTCAATTGCATGTAAATGAACACTGTCCAGTCCAAAACAAAGGTGAAGATGCCTTAAGTAGACACAATGGGACTTTCCCTCTTTCTCTTGGAAATAAGTCCCTTACATCTCAAAAAGGGATTGACAGAGAAGAGAAGCCATATAAATGCTTAGAATGGGGAAAGAATTATAGAAAAAACAGGCAACTTACTGTCCATAAAAGGATTCACACAGGGGAGAGGCCATACAAATGTGTTGACTGTGGAAAACTCTTCTGTCGAAAGTCTTCCCTTACTTATCATCAAATGATCCACATAGGGGAGAAGCCATTTAAATGCATGGAGTGTGGAAAGATATTTAGTCGGATTGATTATCTTACTGCCCATCAAAGAATTCACACAGGAGACAAACCATTTAAATGCATGGATTGTGGAAAGACCTTTATTCGGAAAAGTAATCTTAATGCCCATCAAAGAATCCACACAGGGGAGAAGCCATTTAAATGCATAGAGTGTGGAAAGACCTTTGCTAATTGCAGTCAACTTACTGTGCACAAAAGGATCCACATAGGGGAGAAGCCATTTAAATGCATGTCCTGTGGAAAGACCTTTGCACAAAGCGCTCATCTTTCCTCCCATAATAAGATCCACACAGGGGAGAAGCCATTCAAATGTATGGAGTGTGGAAAGACCTTTATTTTGAACAGTCGTCTCACTGCGCATCAAAGGATCCACACAGGGGTGAAGCCATTTAAATGCATGGAGTGTGGAAAGACCTTTTTTTGGAACAGTCATCTTATTGTCCATAAAAGGATCCACACCGGGGAGAAGCCATACAAATGTATGGAGTGTGGAAGGACCTTTGGTCAGAGCAGCCATCTTACCTCTCATAAAAGGATCCACACAGGGGAGAAGCCATTTAAATGCATTGAGTGTGGAAAGACATTTAGTCGGAATGATCTTTTTACTATCCATCAAAGGATTCACACAGGAGAGAAACCATATAAATGCATGGAGTGTGGAAATATCTTTATTTCGAAGCGTCATCTTACTGTCCATCAAAGAATCCATATGGGAGAAGCCATTTAAATGCATGGTGTGTAGAAAGACCTTTGCACGAAGTGCTCATCTTTATTCCCATAATACGATCCACATGGGAGAAGCCTTTTAAATGTATGGAGTGTGGAAAGACCTTTGTCCAGAGCACTCATCTTTCCTCCCATAGCAAGATTCACACAGGGTAGAAACCATATAAATGCATAGAGCGTGGAAGGGCCTTTGGTCAGAGCAGCCATCTTACTTCCCACAAAATGGGAGAAGTCATTTAAATGCATGGAGAATGGAAAGACTTTTGCTCAGTCCAGTGGTCTTACTTATCATAAAAAAATCCACATAGGGGAGAAGCAATTTAAGTGAATGGAATGTTGAAAGAACTTTGCTCAAAGCAAGAGTCTTACTTTCCATAAAAGGATACACACGGGAGAAGTCATTTAAATTAATGGAGTGTGGAAAGAGTTCTACTCGAAGCGGTCACCTTTGTTCCCATAGTGAAATCCTCACGGGGTAGTCACATAAATGCATGGAGTATAGAATGACCTTTTAACTAAGAGGTCAACTTACTTCCCATTAGATGGTCCACACAGGGAATAAAACACAAACGCATGGAGTGCAGAAAGTATTTCAATGATGAAGTTTCCACCCTCGGGACAAACCTTACAACTGCATGGAATGGAGAAAGAGCTTCAATGATAGTGTTTCTTCTAGAGAGAAAGTGTAGATTTCCAACCTCAAAGTGAGTGTAAGATAGAGATCAGAAAGAATACAAAGTAAGAATGGAAATGAAAGTTATGTTATAAATAGACGTAAATATGTAAGTAAATATATAAATAGTATAAAATGCAATATGTAAATGGTATAAAATATCAATGACTAGGAAGATATATGGTATATGGTATAGTATGTATGGCAAAATAACAGCCAGAAAAGTCATACTGTTCAACCTGTTTTAAAATGTTTACTTAATAAAAATTTATTTTAAAAAAAGATAATGTTTCTTCTACTTACCATAACAAGATGCACTTGGAAAAAATGATGTGAATGCATGGAGTCCATCAATGGAACCACACAAGAATATCCTTATCAATTCAGAGCCTCAACAGGAATAGTAATCTAAAATCTAATACAAGGGTCTATTTGGATAATAATCCTTACAAATATTAGGCCTACTTTGATATGATCCAAATAAGACAAGGTGAAGGCTCAATCCTTTCTTATGCTTTTAGCTAAGTATCTAAGTCAAAAATGAGAACCAGTGGAGATTAAGGGCATTAATAGGTCTGAAAGTGATATATAGATAAAAGTATTTAAGTGATGCAGGTTCCCCAAGAAATGATGAATATATCCACAAGAGCAAAGTTGCATGTAAAAATGCAATTGGTCCTGAATCCCTTATTATAGTTTGAGCTTTCCTTTACTTAATCTTGTCACAATCCGCCTTTCCACCCTGTGTCACATTATGTAATGCAAGTAATAGCTGAGAGAGAAAACCTGAAGGAGAATGGGGTTATAGTGATGCTGAATTAGAAGATGCAATTCATAGGCTGTGTCCTAACTGTAGTGATCTTTCCTCACCTCTCATGTTGGCTCCAAAATAATAGTAAAGAGAGAACTAAAGTGTGCTGCTGTAAGACAAACTGAAGTAATAGCAAAGGGAAGGTACTTTCGGAAACAGCCCAGAAATACAGTTGGGATAAGCACTCCTGCTATGTGTGGGAGACGTCTGCTACATCTCATCATGCTGCCGATCACAAAATAGTTACTGCTTCTTGGACATTAAAATAATTGAACTCAAGACTTGTTTCTGCTGTGTAAAATAGGGATAAGAGATAGGCAATAGAAACAGTATTTTTAAGTGGAAAGTTTTTGGCAGGGTTCCGAATGATGAAGCCAACCAAGCAAACACCTTCGAGACATTCTGATTTCTTAATGTAAATATTAAGTATGTCTCTTCGTCACAACTGAAAGCAAAACCAGTTCTGGCCTGACCCACCCAAACCCCAGGTCACATTGCCCAAACAAGATGGAAGTTATGACCCAGGAGGGAAAGACTAGGTAGGTCTCCAGAGAGTTGTTTATTTGTCTTGGGAAGGTTAAACAAACGGCCCTCCACTGACCAGTGAGGGCCCACTTTCAGTCTCCCGAACATAGAATACCCAATATGTCCCCAAGGCAGAAGTCCAGGTATTAGGCAAGGGCAGTCTTTAGAGCAAGGCAAAGCTCCAATTCATACTCCTCTGCTTTTTGAGGGGTTATTGATCCTGGTGGCAGTGGAGCCTGTCAATGCAGACTATTGCCTGCACACCCCATCCCACACAGCCCCCCCCTAACATGTCAACTTGTCTGCAAAACCCTCAGTGAGCAGAAAGGGGAAAAAGGCTTTTAAAGAAAAAGTTGTTTAAGAATTTAATAGTAAATGTTTCTTCTCAGAATTCATCTTCCTCACTCCCATGTCCATCACAACCAAACCAGGGGCCTATCTCCACATAAGACCCATATGTTTTCATTTCCCCTCATGATATCTGAGATTCATATTCCTTTTCCCTTATTTTCTTCCTTTTTGCAATTCCACTCTCCAGTCACAGAGGAGACGCCATTTGCCCCCATTTTCTCCACCGAGCAGCGTCGTTGTGAGGTAAAATTTCTGGAATATCTATCAGTTTGAGCTTTTTCTCCATTTGGGGACTGGTTTTTAGATATTTCTTTTTCTTCGGCAAGCCCAAGGGGGGGCCTTTCTCCTACTCCCAAACCCATCATCCATGTCCTCCCTTCCCCTCAGATGATCTTTCTCTTTCCCGCCCTTTCGGGGAATCCTGGCACTTTGCGCCGAGCCCACAAAGGGGCGCTCTTAGCCTCAGGAGGGAACTGAGCATGCGTAAAACTCTGGCACAAGGAAAGTTCCTAGCAAGAGGTTTCTCTTTCGGTTCTTCCCCCTCCCTCCCCTGAGAGGCGGGGCGTGACCTTTGCCGGAAGCCTAGAGGTTGCCGGGAAGCTTTGCTGGAACGCGTATCTCGACGAGACTCCAGAGTTCCGTGAGTGGTGGCCTGGCAAATCTTCCCTCGGGGTGGAAGTCCGGGATCCCATGTTCCCCTGCTGCCCTTTCCCATGCAGGGGCCAGGCGGGGGAGGAGCAAAGGAGAGAAATGGGGGTCGCCAGAAGGCAGGGGCCGTTTCCCCTCATTTCCTCTGCATGGTGGGGGGTGGAGGCTTGCCGGAAATCGTCCGGACGGCTCTGGGTTTAAGGCTGGAAGTCTGAACTTCTGGAACTGGCCACGTTGGACTAAGGCTGGATTAGGCTAAGAAATGGGAAACAACCTCTGGAGACCAAAGATTAAACTAGTGTCAGATCTTCCAGAGTTCAGCCTGTCTTAGGAGGAGGATTGGACAGGACAACATCTTCACGTGTTGTTTCACTGGTTAAGTCCACACTTTCTAATTCTTGGAATTTCTTTCCATCTCAGAAATACAACCTGCAAGCCATTTGTATATCTTCAAAATTGTCTTTTGGCTAAAGGGGGCTGAATGACGTACTGTGGTCAGTCCTGAGGCTAGAGGAAGAATCCTATGAATAAAAAGCATTTGGAGATCCACAAGATTCCTTGAACCCATTTGGAGTTTCATTACAGAACAGAAAAGGAATGGAGATACAACTTTTAGCAAGTGAGGGAATTGGAAAAGGCCCTTCTGCCATTCAGCTTGGAAGTTGTGGGGAAGGCTGTTCAAGAACTGGGCAGAAGATCGTACAGAAGGAAACCATCCATTCAGAAGTTCAGTTCTGGAACTTCAGGAGCGTCCAATACCAGACTCAGGGTCCCCGAGGACTTTGCAACCAAATCCACAACTTCTGTAGGCGATGGCTGAGACCAGAAAAGCACACCAAAGCCCAGATGCTGGACCTGGTTGTTCTGGAGCAGCTCCTGGCTATCCTGCCCCCAGAGATGGAGAGCTGGGTGCGGGAGTGCGGAGCAGAGACTAGCTCCCAGGCAGTAGCCCTGGCTGAAGGTCTCCTCTTGAGCCAGGCGGAGGAGAAAAAAGAGCAGGTTGAGTTGCAGGTGGGAGACCTTCAACTAGGGAACCCAGAATGGAATAAAGATTTTCTTTTAATTCTTTATCGCTCCTTCCCGGATTTGTGGAGATGTCCCACCACTTTCAGTCTCATTGATGGGTTTTGGGTGGACTTTCAGGTTGTGTTCAGAGAACAAGAATCCACTTTATGTTTTGTGATGTCCATTAATTCTTCTTTCTCCTTCCTCCTATTTCACTGTGGAGATCAGAGATCCTGAGGGAAACAGGAATCCATCAGATCCCCCTCAGGAGCTGTTTCTCAGGAGGATCTCTCAGGAAAAGGACACCTCAGGTAAAGCGAAGGCCCTCCCATAATCCAGAGAGGTCCCAGCTACCTTACCTTTTCTATCTCTTCCCTTCTGTAGAATACCTCCTATTTTGTTAATTATGATGCATTTTAAAATTCTGTATTCCTCACAGAGAAACAAAGGATGGGGTTTTCTGGTGTTTATGATGGAGCTGAAACAGTGGTTGAGCCTCCAAATCAAGTAAGTTGTGGAAATTAATTGATTAGATTTGTATTCTCCTTTCCTTCAAGAAGAGAAGCTGGTGTGCAGACCACTCCTTCCATTCCCCCTGCCCCATTTAGACTGGATTATTTTTGTGTTCCTGAGCAACATGGGAAAGGGAATAGCGGGTTCAAGTTACAACGTGGAAAACGGGTTGATGTTGCTCTCAGCCAACTTAGTTTCCTCTGAAGACTGTTGTCGTGACACAATGATTTGTCATTTCTACCCTCAAATTCTATTAGGATTTTTTTAAAAAAACTATTAGTTAATTCGTTCAGCTAGCTAGTCTTCCAAATAGGCTTTTACAAGAAGTATTTTTTTTTAGAAAAAGTCCTTCAAGAAAAAGGAGTAAACGTATCACAGTGGTAGCAAATGCTAAACAGAGACCCATTGAACCAGTAGAAGAATTACTTTACTGAAAGGCATTGAAAGTTCTGCAGAATCGATCAACTTAATAAAATTTGCCCAAATAGTTCTTCAGTCAAAGGTTTTTGATTGTTTATTTTCTCACATAAACTTTGGAATCCTCCATTTATTGCCATTTAACTTGGTGCTTAACATTACTTTGGGATTTGGTGAACAATGGACCAGATCTTGAGAATCCTTCTTGGGCTGTTCTGTTCCTTTTTCCTTGTTCAGGGTGACCGTGTGTCTTTTGAAGAGGTGGCTGTGTATTTCTCCAAGGAAGAGTGGTCTCAGCTGGATCCTGACCAAAAAGTACTACATAATGAAGTCATGCTGGAAAATCATACAAATGTGGCCTCTCTGGGTAAGGATTTGCTACTCATTAATCAGAGAGTTTCAGAAAGTTACCATTAGCTATTTCTTATTAATAATCCCCAACTCATTTCCTGGGAAGGAGAAGGAAACATATCTGGCTTTCTCCTGCTCCAGGGAAGGAATAGCAACAACAATAACACTTAGACTTACATATCACTCCACAGTGCTTTAGCACACTGTGTGAGTGGTGTACAATGTCAGCATGTTGCCCCAACAATCTGGGTTCTCCTGGCACTTTGCCACCAGGGCTCCTCTTATAAGATCTTTGAGACAAACTCTATGGTTGAGGAAAGAGGTCTATGGTTGTTTAGATGCTTCCTCTGCCACTTCTCATCTGCATTTTTCCATTTCTATTTCAATCTATCAGTGATAAACTAATTTCTTGTCTTGAGGAGATGCTCAGCTAAATAACACCAATATCAGCTATTTGAGCCCAGATGCTTTTTCTTATCTGTCCTAGAAAGGGTTGTCATTCTTCCAGTTCATGGGTTAATAACTTTTATTCCTTTTCATTTCTATCCTGAGTTTTGGGATTAGGGGCTAATCCCAGGTAATCCTCGAGTTACGAATGTAATGGACTCTGTCCATTCCACTCATGAAAACTCGTGTGAATCTTGTACCGTGAACGAGATCACTCCCTTGCTCATTAAGATGCATGTGGCTCGTTAAGTGAACATAAGGTATCTCAGGGTGGGGAAGGCGATGGAGGGCCTAGTGATGGAATAGGTCCCCAAGGCCTCCTCAACCCACTAAGATACCTCATGCCACCCCCTTCCTTCCTGCCATGCAAGACTGACCTTGAAAAGATCCATCTCCTCTGCCACGGTTCCTCCTGCTGCCTGGCTCTAAGGCCAGGGGACGCTTCCATGTCTCTCCAATAGCCTGATGTGGGCATCGGAGGCCTTCTCCAGATCCAGGCCGTAGCTGCCTGGGAAAGGCCTCTGATGCACTGATCCAGCCTTCAGAGGCATGTGGAAATGTCCCTGGCTTCGGTTCCGTTCTGTGTCGCAGAGAACAGAAACCTAAAGTAGTATGAGATCACGCAAGATCAGTAGCGTGAGATCTTGCCCCAGTGATCTCACGTGATCTTGCATTACTTTAGGCCTTCATTCTCTGTGAACGCACCGAAAGCCTGTAGCAGCCAAAAAAGTGAAGGATTTCAATCCTGGTGGCTAGGGAAACCGGGTGTAGAGATGGGGAGGGAGGGAATAACCAGCGTGAATGTTGCAGAGCTTCTGCGGTCGCTCATTAGGGGAAATGACTGCGGTGCTGCTGCAATATTCGTAATTTTGGGACTTACTTGTAAGCACTAATAGAAGGACCCCTGTTTCTTTCTCAGCTATGTGAGATTTTGGCAAGAGAAAATGAATAGTAAAGGGAAATTAGTTTGCATAGAAAAAAAAGGACTTGTTACAAAATTGTTTCAGTTCTCACAGGTCTCTGCTGAAATTAACCATTCCAATAAATCTTATGTTATCTCCTAAAATCTCCTTGACTGTTTCCCCTGATTATTCCTTAACTGAAAATTGACTTTAAGTGAGATTTGCATACCGTGTTTCCCTGGAAATAAGCATTAATTTGATTTTTATCCATGCGCCGAATATAAACTCTATGCCAAAAATAAGCCCTAGTTAAGACTTTGTCCTACCATCTAGTTGTTTGCAATGGGGCAGCAGAGTGCACAGTACCACCATGAGGTGAGGTGAGGCTGGTGGCGGGAAAGGTGCCCCATGCATCCCATACCCGCATACCTCAGGGCCCCCGCAACCAGACCACTCCCCACTGGTGACCTCTCCCAAGCCATTCAATGACCCGGCTGTCCACGTGCCTCTTTCCTTTCCCTCCTCTTGAGGTGGAGTGCCATATTACGGAGTATGGGTGGGAGAGAGACTTGGTCCCCTCACCCACTCTCCCTCCACTGTTTCAAAGCCAGGAGGGAGTTATGGCAAAAGGCTTCTGCCGCTGCTGAACATCAGATACTTCCGCTGCTTGGGGGGCTTTTTTAGATCCCTGCCGCCCTCCACCTGCTACTTTGGTCCTGAACACACTGCCTCACGCTTCCTGATCCCTGTTTGCCATTTCATTTGCGGCAGCTCTGAAAGCCTGCACTTCTGCATTGTCCCTGGGGTGGCAATTTCGACCACCTGGTCCTCTTCGCAGCTCTATCCACACAGCCATGCAAGCAGTAGGCAGAGCCCTGGAGGGTTGGGGAGGGTGCTGAAGCTACCAAGCATCCTGCCTGCAGCATCTGTGCCCTGGCTGCCCCTTCCGCATCAAAACTGGAATGCCACCCCATTCCAGTAGATGCCAGCTTTGCACCACCGCCCAGCTCCCATCTCTTCCCCAAAGCATTCCTTCACTAACCTGCTTTCCAGCTCGGTTGCATTTCTCCATCGGTGCATACAGAGAAACAAAAGTTTGCAAGGCTAAAAAAAAGTTCAACCAGGCCTTCCAACTTTCAAGATCTTTTTTTGTGTGTGTGTCTGAGAAGTTGGAAGATCTGATTGACTTTTTTTTTTTTTTTTTTGGGTCCCACAAACTTCCTTTGTTTTCCTGCACAGGCGGCAGTCATTGAAGGAATGGTTTGGGGAAGAGAGGGGATCTTGACAGTGATATGCCAAGCTGTCCAGCTCCACAATGACTGAGAAATGTTATGTACATGGAAAGCAGGCTAGCAAATGAATGCTTTGGAAAAGCGAGTGGAACTAGGTAGTAATGTGCCAAGCTCCCGAGCTCCGCGGGGCAGAGCAAGATGGTGAAGAGTGGAAGGTTACTATGATTTGGGGCCAGGAACAGAAGCTAAGCATGTTTTTGGTAGAAAGTGGGTAACCCACCTTAACTGCTTCTTTTTAGCAACCCAACAGTTTGGTTGCTAAGCACCCCATAGGCACCCAAATACTTTTCGCCGAAACTGTGAAATGACGTAGACTGAAAGCTGCTTCTGCTTGCAGATGGGGCCGTTTCCGAGCAGCTCTTGCTTTTAAAGCGAAATCTTCTCTTCCTAAGGCAGTAGCAAACCTGGGGGGGAACCTGCAGTTCTATCTAGTAAGGTGAAACCCTTCTTTTTTTTCCCAGCATTAACATAATAATAACAGCTTAGTTTGGGGGAGAGAGCCAGCAAGTTTGCCTTATTTTGCAAAGTATTAGCATACACTATGACACAAAGCCTTCTTTGCTTTGGCTCTTCTAAACTTGTAAGAAAAGCTGTGTGTCGCCCATCCCAATTTCCTGCTCCAGGAAAGGAACTCCCCCTAGCCCTTTGTTGAGCCAAAAAAGTATTTTATTAAAACTAAAATGGTTACAAGAGCAGCAAAGCTGGATCTGGCATTTTCGCATGCAAAAGATGCAATTAACTTTCCCTTTTCCCTGGCTATTCCCTTGTTATAAGCTAATATCCAATTAGGTGGTTAGATTTTGCTTGGGGAAGGACCTTTGGTTCGCAATTCAGATGTTTGGATTGGCTGATGCTTCTAACGCCTTGGGCTGGCATGGCTTGATTTCTATCCCACCCCGCTTCCTCCTTACATTCCAATCCTTTTCTTCCCTTCCTCAATTGATAATGTCAGGCTTTCAGCTTGCAACAGTTGGCTTGCAGAATGTCAGCCATGACACTGTGTGTTTTAGACTTTGTGCACTTTAATTGTCAGGATGAAGGAGGGAAAAGAAACAGTCCAGGTTTTAGCAGCTTCTCTCGTTGCATCTTCCTAAATCCCCATTGGCCAAAATGAAAGAGCAGCATTCTTTCTGCTCTTGTTGCAAGTGGCATCTTCACTTTAGCAGTAATTACCCACTCAGTGAAGAGAAGCAGCCTACTCCTGAGAAAACTGAAGGTATTTTATGAATGTATGGGTGGAGTAGGTATAGGGGCTCATTCATAGAGCGGGATCCACTTAACAACTCCTCGAGGTACAAATGTAATCGGCAGGCTCCATTACATTCGTAGCTCAAGGATTATCTGTATATTGCAATTTCGCAAAAATGTAGAAGGTAATTCACTTGACTTTCTACAGTTTGATCTTTTCTCCTAATCTTGTTATCATTTTCATTTCTCTTTTCCTTTGGAGGTAATAATGGGCAGGAGAATAAAAATTCTGAGGAGCCATTCCAAGTGATCCACCATGAAGAAAGAATAAAGAAGCGTATAGCACAAATGGAAGAAGAACATTATGAGAGAAACCAGTTGAATAATAGGAATCAGGAGAATTCATCAACCATTCATACTTCAATGCAAGATCTTCTTCTCCATCAAGGGACAATAAAGAAGAAATGCATTGGGAAAAGTGTAAAGTTAATCAAAGCTCAATTGCATGTAAATGAACACTGTCCAGTCCAAAACAAAGGTGAAGATGCCTTAAGTAGACACAATGGGACTTTCCCTCTTTCTCTTGGAAATAAGTCCCTTACATCTCAAAAAGGGATTGACAGAGAAGAGAAGCCATATAAATGCTTAGAATGGGGAAAGAATTATAGAAAAAACAGGCAACTTACTGTCCATAAAAGGATTCACACAGGGGAGAGGCCATACAAATGTGTTGACTGTGGAAAACTCTTCTGTCGAAAGTCTTCCCTTACTTATCATCAAATGATCCACATAGGGGAGAAGCCATTTAAATGCATGGAGTGTGGAAAGATATTTAGTCGGATTGATTATCTTACTGCCCATCAAAGAATTCACACAGGAGACAAACCATTTAAATGCATGGATTGTGGAAAGACCTTTATTCGAAAAAGTAATCTTAATGCCCATCAAAGAATCCACACAGGGGAGAAGCCATTTAAATGCATAGAGTGTGGAAAGACCTTTGCTAATTGCAGTCAACTTACTGTGCACAAAAGGATCCACATAGGGGAGAAGCCATTTAAATGCATGTCCTGTGGAAAGACCTTTGCACAAAGCGCTCATCTTTCCTCCCATAATAAGATCCACACAGGGGAGAAGCCATTCAAATGTATGGAGTGTGGAAAGACCTTTATTTTGAACAGTCGTCTCACTGCGCATCAAAGGATCCACACAGGGGTGAAGCCATTTAAATGCATGGAGTGTGGAAAGACCTTTTTTTGGAACAGTCATCTTATTGTCCATAAAAGGATCCACACAGGGGAGAAGCCATACAAATGTATGGAGTGTGGAAGGACCTTTGGTCAGAGCAGCCATCTTACCTCTCATAAAAGGATCCACACAGGGGAGAAGCCATTTAAATGCATTGAGTGTGGAAAGACATTTAGTCGGAATGATCTTTTTACTATCCATCAAAGGATTCACACAGGAGAGAAACCATATAAATGCATGGAGTGTGGAAATATCTTTATTTCGAAGCGTCATCTTACTGTCCATCAAAGAATCCATATGGGAGAAGCCATTTAAATGCATGGTGTGTAGAAAGACCTTTGCACGAAGTGCTCATCTTTATTCCCATAATACGATCCACATGGGAGAAGCCTTTTAAATGTATGGAGTGTGGAAAGACCTTTGTCCAGAGCACTCATCTTTCCTCCCATAGCAAGATTCACACAGGGTAGAAACCATATAAATGCATAGAGCGTGGAAGGGCCTTTGGTCAGAGCAGCCATCTTACTTCCCACAAAATGGGAGAAGTCATTTAAATGCATGGAGAATGGAAAGACCTTTGCTCAGTCCAGTGGTCTTACTTATCATAAAAAAATCCACATAGGGGAGAAGCAATTTAAGTGAATGGAATGTTGAAAGAACTTTGCTCAAAGCAAGAGTCTTACTTTCCATAAAAGGATACACACGGGAGAAGTCATTTAAATTAATGGAGTGTGGAAAGAGTTCTACTCGAAGCGGTCACCTTTGTTCCCATAGTGAAATCCTCACGGGGTAGTCACATAAATGCATGGAGTATAGAATGACCTTTTAACTAAGAGGTCAACTTACTTCCCATTAGATGGTCCACACAGGGAATAAAACACAAACGCATGGAGTGCAGAAAGTATTTCAATGATGAAGTTTCCACCCTCGGGACAAACCTTACAACTGCATGGAATGGAGAAAGAGCTTCAATGATAGTGTTTCTTCTAGAGAGAAAGTGTAGATTTCCAACCTCAAAGTGAGTGTAAGATAGAGATCAGAAAGAATACAAAGTAAGAATGGAAATGAAAGTTATGTTATAAATAGACGTAAATATGTAAGTAAATATATAAATAGTATAAAATGCAATATGTAAATGGTATAAAATATCAATGACTAGGAAGATATATGGTATATGGTATAGTATGTATGGCAAAATAACAGCCAGAAAAGTCATACTGTTCAACCTGTTTTAAAATGTTTACTTAATAAAAATTTATTTTAAAAAAAGATAATGTTTCTTCTACTTACCATAACAAGATGCACTTGGAAAAAATGATGTGAATGCATGGAGTCCATCAATGGAACCACACAAGAATATCCTTATCAATTCAGAGCCTCAACAGGAATAGTAATCTAAAATCTAATACAAGGGTCTATTTGGATAATAATCCTTACAAATATTAGGCCTACTTTGATATGATCCAAATAAGACAAGGTGAAGGCTCAATCCTTTCTTATGCTTTTAGCTAAGTATCTAAGTCAAAAATGAGAACCAGTGGAGATTAAGGGCATTAATAGGTCTGAAAGTGATATATAGATAAAAGTATTTAAGTGATGCAGGTTCCCCAAGAAATGATGAATATATCCACAAGAGCAAAGTTGCATGTAAAAATGCAATTGGTCCTGAATCCCTTATTATAGTTTGAGCTTTCCTTTACTTAATCTTGTCACAATCCGCCTTTCCACCCTGTGTCACATTATGTAATGCAAGTAATAGCTGAGAGAGAAAACCTGAAGGAGAATGGGGTTATAGTGATGCTGAATTAGAAGATGCAATTCATAGGCTGTGTCCTAACTGTAGTGATCTTTCCTCACCTCTCATGTTGGCTCCAAAATAATAGTAAAGAGAAAACTAAAGTGTGCTGCTGTAAGACAAACTGAAGTAATAGCAAAGGGAAGGTACTTTCGGAAACAGCCCAGAAATACAGTTGGGATAAGCACTCTTGCTATGTGTGGGAGACGTCTGCTACATCTCATCATGCTGCCGATCACAAAATAGTTACTGCTTCTTGGACATTAAAATAATTGAACTCAAGACTTGTTTCTGCTGTGTAAAATAGGGATAAGAGATAGGCAATAGAAACAGTATTTTTAAGTGGAAAGTTTTTGGCAGGGTTCCGAATGATGAAGCCAACCAAGCAAACACCTTCGAGACATTCTGATTTCTTAATGTAAATATTAAGTATGTCTCTTCGTCACAACTGAAAGCAAAACCAGTTCTGGCCTGACCCACCCAAACCCCAGGTCACATTGCCCAAACAAGATGGAAGTTATGACCCAGGAGGGAAAGACTAGGTAGGTCTCCAGAGAGTTGTTTATTTGTCTTGGGAAGGTTAAACAAACGGCCCTCCACTGACTAGTGAGGGCCCACTTTCAGTCTCCCGAACATAGAATACCCAATATGTCCCCAAGGCAGAAGTCCAGGTATTAGGCAAGGGCAGTCTTTAGAGCAAGGCAAAGCTCCAATTCATACTCCTCTGCTTTTTGAGGGGTTATTGATCCTGGTGGCAGTGGAGCCTGTCAATGCAGACTATTGCCTGCACACCCCATCCCACACAGCCCCCCCCTAACATGTCAACTTGTCTGCAAAACCCTCAGTGAGCAGAAAGGGGAAAAAGGCTTTTAAAGAAAAAGTTGTTTAAGAATTTAATAGTAAATGTTTCTTCTCAGAATTCATCTTCCTCACTCCCATGTCCATCACAACCAAACCAGGGGCCTATCTCCACATAAGACCCATATGTTTTCATTTCCCCTCATGATATCTGAGATTCATATTCCTTTTCCCTTATTTTCTTCCTTTTTGCAATTCCACTCTCCAGTCACAGAGGAGACGCCATTTGCCCCCATTTTCTCCACCGAGCAGCGTCGTTGTGAGGTAAAATTTCTGGAATATCTATCAGTTTGAGCTTTTTCTCCATTTGGGGACTGGTTTTTAGATATTTCTTTTTCTTCGGCAAGCCCAAGGGGGGGCCTTTCTCCTACTCCCAAACCCATCATCCATGTCCTCCCTTCCCCTCAGATGATCTTTCTCTTTCCCGCCCTTTCGGGGAATCCTGGCACTTTGCGCCGAGCCCACAAAGGGGCGCTCTTAGCCTCAGGAGGGAACTGAGCATGCGTAAAACTCTGGCACAAGGAAAGTTCCTAGCAAGAGGTTTCTCTTTCGGTTCTTCCCCCTCCCTCCCCTGAGAGGCGGGGCGTGACCTTTGCCGGAAGCCTAGAGGTTGCCGGGAAGCTTTGCTGGAACGCGTATCTCGACGAGACTCCAGAGTTCCGTGAGTGGTGGCCTGGCAAATCTTCCCTCGGGGTGGAAGTCCGGGATCCCATGTTCCCCTGCTGCCCTTTCCCATGCAGGGGCCAGGCGGGGGAGGAGCAAAGGAGAGAAATGGGGGTCGCCAGAAGGCAGGGGCCGTTTCCCCTCATTTCCTCTGCATGGTGGGGGGTGGAGGCTTGCCGGAAATCGTCCGGACGGCTCTGGGTTTAAGGCTGGAAGTCTGAACTTCTGGAACTGGCCACGTTGGACTAAGGCTGGATTAGGCTAAGAAATGGGAAACAACCTCTGGAGACCAAAGATTAAACTAGTGTCAGATCTTCCAGAGTTCAGCCTGTCTTAGGAGGAGGATTGGACAGGACAACATCTTCACGTGTTGTTTCACTGGTTAAGTCCACACTTTCTAATTCTTGGAATTTCTTTCCATCTCAGAAATACAACCTGCAAGCCATTTTGGCTAAAGGGGGCTGAATGACGTACTATGGTCAGTCCTGAGGCTAGAGGAAGAATCCTATGAATAAAAAGCATTTGGAGATCCACAAGATTCCTTGAACCCATTTGGAGTTTCATTACAGAACAGAAAAGGAATGGAGATACAACTTTTAGCAAGTGAGGGAATTGGAAAAGGCCCTTCTGCCATTCAGCTTGGAAGTTGTGGGGAAGGCTGTTCAAGAACTGGGCAGAAGATCGTACAGAAGGAAACCATCCATTCAGAAGTTCAGTTCTGGAACTTCAGGAGCGTCCAATACCAGACTCAGGGTCCCCGAGGACTTTGCAACCAAATCCACAACTTCTGTAGGCGATGGCTGAGACCAGAAAAGCACACCAAAGCCCAGATGCTGGACCTGGTTGTTCTGGAGCAGCTCCTGGCTATCCTGCCCCCAGAGATGGAGAGCTGGGTGCGGGAGTGCGGAGCAGAGACTAGCTCCCAGGCAGTAGCCCTGGCTGAAGGTCTCCTCTTGAGCCAGGCGGAGGAGAAAAAAGAGCAGGTTGAGTTGCAGGTGGGAGACCTTCAACTAGGGAACCCAGAATGGAATAAAGATTTTCTTTTAATTCTTTATCGCTCCTTCCCGGATTTGTGGAGATGTCCCACCACTTTCAGTCTCATTGATGGGTTTTGGGTGGACTTTCAGGTTGTGTTCAGAGAACAAGAATCCACTTTATGTTTTGTGATGTCCATTAATTCTTCTTTCTCCTTCCTCCTATTTCACTGTGGAGATCAGAGATCCTGAGGGAAACAGGAATCCATCAGATCCCCCTCAGGAGCTGTTTCTCAGGAGGATCTCTCAGGAAAAGGACACCTCAGGTAAAGCGAAGGCCCTCCCATAATCCAGAGAGGTCCCAGCTACCTTACCTTTTCTATCTCTTCCCTTCTGTAGAATACCTCCTATTTTGTTAATTATGATGCATTTTAAAATTCTGTATTCCTCACAGAGAAACAAAGGATGGGGTTTTCTGGTGTTTATGATGGAGCTGAAACAGTGGTTGAGCCTCCAAATCAAGTAAGTTGTGGAAATTAATTGATTAGATTTGTATTCTCCTTTCCTTCAAGAAGAGAAGCTGGTGTGCAGACCACTCTCTCCTTCCATTCCCCCTGCCCCATTTAGACTGGATTATTTTTGTGTTCCTGAGCAACATGGGAAAGGGAATAGCGGGTTCAAGTTACAACGTGGAAAACGGGTTGATGTTGCTCTCAGCCAACTTAGTTTCCTCTGAAGACTGTTGTCGTGACACAATGATTTGTCATTTCTACCCTCAAATTCTATTAGGATTTTTTTAAAAAAACTATTAGTTAATTCGTTCAGCTAGCTAGTCTTCCAAATAGGCTTTTACAAGAAGTATTTTTTTTTAGAAAAAGTCCTTCAAGAAAAAGGAGTAAACGTATCACAGTGGTAGCAAATGCTAAACAGAGACCCATTGAACCAGTAGAAGAATTACTTTACTGAAAGGCATTGAAAGTTCTGCAGAATCGATCAACTTAATAAAATTTGCCCAAATAGTTCTTCAGTCAAAGGTTTTTGATTGTTTATTTTCTCACATAAACTTTGGAATCCTCCATTTATTGCCATTTAACTTGGTGCTTAACATTACTTTGGGATTTGGTGAACAATGGACCAGATCTTGAGAATCCTTCTTGGGCTGTTCTGTTCCTTTTTCCTTGTTCAGGGTGACCGTGTGTCTTTTGAAGAGGTGGCTGTGTATTTCTCCAAGGAAGAGTGGTCTCAGCTGGATCCTGACCAAAAAGTACTACATAATGAAGTCATGCTGGAAAATCATACAAATGTGGCCTCTCTGGGTAAGGATTTGCTACTCATTAATCAGAGAGTTTCAGAAAGTTACCATTAGCTATTTCTTATTAATAATCCCCAACTCATCTCCTGTGAAGGAGAAGGAAACATATCTGGCTTTCTCCTGCTCCAGGGAAGGAATAGCAACAGCAATAGCACTTAGACTTACATATCACTCCACAGTGCTTTAGCACACTCTGTGACTGGTGTACAATGTCAGCATGTTGCCCCCAACAATCTGGGTCCTCCTGGCACTTTGCCACCAGGGCTCCTCTTATAAGATCTTTGGGACAACTAAAAGGAAAGGGGTCTATGGTTGTTTAGATGCTTCCTCTGCCACTTCTCATCTGCTGAATTTTTCCATTTCTATTTCAATCTATCAGTGATAAACTAATTTCTTGTCTTGAGGAGATGCTCAGCTAAATAACACCAATATCAGCTATTTGAGCCCAGATGCTTTTTCTTATCTGTCCTAGAAAGGGTTGTCATTTCTTCCAGTTCATGGGTTAATAACTTTTATTCCTTTTCATTTCTATCCTGAGTCTTGGGATTAGTGGCTAACCAGTAGAAGTAATCCTTGAGTTACGAATTTAATAGTGCCTGCCCATTCCACTTGTGAAAACTGTGGGAACCTCGTACTTCGAAGGAGGTCACTCCCTTGCTCATTAAGATGCATGTAGCTTGTTAAGTGAACATAAGGTATCTCAGGGTGGGGAAGGCCATGGAGGGCCTAGTGATGGAACAGGTCCCCAAAGCCTCCTCAACCCACTAAGATACCTCATGCTTCCCCCTCCCTTTCTGCTGTGCAGGACTCACCTTGAAAAGATCTGTCTCCACAGTTCCTCCTGCTGCCTGGCTCTAAGGGCAGGGGACGCTTCCATATATCTCCAATAGCCCGATGCGGGCATCGGAGGCCTTCTCCAGATCCAGGCAGGAGCGACCTGGAAAAGGCCTCTGACACCGATTGGGCCACTGGAGGCCACAGAAGCGTTCCCCTGGCCTCAGATCCAGGCATCAGCAGCTTGGAAAAAGCCTCCGATGGCCCGGTCCAGCCTCCGGAGGCACATGGAACCATCCCCAGCTTCGGTTCAATTCTCTGTTGCAGAAAACAGAGGCCTAATGTATGAGATCACACAAGACCAGTAGCATGAGATCTCGCCCCAGTGATCTCGCATGGTCTTACATTACTTTAGGCCTTCATTCTCTGTGAACACACTGAAAGCCTGTAGCAGCCAAGAAAGTGAAGGATTTCAATCTTCACAGGGATGAGTATTTGAGGCTTGGTGCCTAGGGAGACCTGGGGTAGAGGTGGGGAGGGAGGGAATAACCAGCGTGAATGTTGCAGAGCCTCTGCATTCGTTCATAAGGGCAAACGACTGCCTTGCTGCTGTAATATTCGTAATTTTGGGACTTTCTTGTAAGCACTAATAGAAGGACCCCTGTTTTTTTCTCTGCAGCTATGTGATTTCGGCAAGAGGAATAATAAAGGGAAATTAATTTGGATAGGAAAAAAGAACCTGTTACAAAATTGTTTCAGTTTTCACAGGTGTCTGCTGAGATTAACCCACTCCAATAAATCTTATGTTATCTCCTAATATCTCGACTGTTTCCCCTGATTATTCCTTAACTGAAAACTGACTTTGAGTGAGATTTGCATACCGTGTTTCCCTGAAAATAAGCATTAGCTTGATTTTTATCCATGCGCCGAATATAAACTCTATGCCAAAAATAAGCCCTATTTAACACTCTTTCCTACCGTCAAGTTGTTCGCGGCTGCAACGGAGCAGGAGAGTGCACGGTACCACCATGAGGTGAAGTGAGGCAGGTGGCGGGAAATGTGCCCCATGCTTCCCATACCCTCATACCTCAAGGCCCCCGCAACCAGAGCACTCCCCACTGGTGACCTCTCCCCGGCTATTCAGTGATCCGGCTTCCCACTTGCCTCTTCCCTTTCCCTCTTGAGGTGGAGTTCCATATTACAGAGTATGGGTGGGAGAGAGGCTTGGTCCCTCACCCAGTCCCCTTCCACTGTTTCAAAGCCAGGAGGGAGTTACGGCAAAAGGTTTCTGCCGCTACTGAGCATCAGATACTTCCGCTGCTTGAGGGGCTTTTTTAAATCCCTGCTGCCCTGTGCCTGCTGGAGGTTGTCTCCTCCACCTGCTACTTTGGTCCTGAACACACTGCCTCACACTTCCTGATCCCTGTTTGCCATTTCATTTGCGGCAGCTCTGAAAGCCTGCACCTCTGCATTGTCCCTGGGGTGGCAGTTTCAACCACCTGGCCCCCTTCGCAGCTCTATCCACACAGCCACCCAAGCATTAGGCAGAGCCCCCGAGAGTCGGGGAGGGTGCTGAAGCTACCAAGCATCCTGCCTGCAGCATTTGTGCCTGGCTGCCCCATCTGCATCAAAGCTGGAATGCCACCCCTTTAAATAGATGCCAGGTTTGTGCCACTGCCCAGCTCCCATCTCTTCCCCAAAGCATTCCTTCACTAACTTGCTTTCCAGCTCGGTTGCATTTCTCTGTCGCCGCATGCAGGGAAAAAAAAGTTTGTGGGGCTAAAAAAAAGTTCAACCAGACCTTCCAGCTTTCTTTGAGATCTTTTTGTGTGTGTGTGTCTGAGAAGTTGGAAGGTCTGATTGATCTTTTTTTTTTGTCCCACAAACTTTTGTTTCCCTGCACGGGCGATGGTCATTGAAGGAATGGTTTGGGGAAGAGAGGGGATCTTGACAGTGGTATGCGAAGCTGTCCAGCTCTGCGATGACTGAGAAATATTATGGACATGGAGGGCAGGCTAGCAAATGAATGCTTTGGAAAAGCGAATGGGCAGTAATGTGCCAAGCTCCCCAGCTCCACAGTGGCAGAGAATTATGGTGGAGAGTGGAAGGTTACTATGATTTGGGGCCAGGAACAGAAGCTAAGCATGTTTTCTGTAGGAAGTGGGTAACCTACCTTAATTGCTTCTTTTTAGCAAACCAGCAGTTTGGTACTAAGCGCCCAATACCACACAAACACTTTTCGCCCAGACCATGAAATGATGTAGACTGAAAGTTGCTTCTGCTTGCAAATGGGGCAGTTTCTAAGCAGCTCTTGCTTGTAAAGCAAAGTCCTCTCTTCCTAAGGCAATAGCAAACACAGCTAAACCTGGGGGGCGGGGGAACCAGCAGTTCTTTCTTGCAAGGTGAAACCCTTCTTTTTTTCCAGCATTAACATAACAATAACAGCTTAGTTTGGTGGAGAGAGCCAGCAAGTTTGCCTTATTACTCCTTAGAAAACTGAAGGCATTTTACAAATGTATGGGTGGAATAGGCATAGGGGCTCATTCACAGAACGGATTAACAAATCCTCCGGGTATAAATGTAATCAGCAGGCTCCATTACATTCGTAGCTCAAGGATTATCTGTATATTGTAATTTCGCAAAAAAATAGAAGGTAATTCACTTGACTTTCTACAATTTGATCTTTTCTCCTAATCTTGTTATCATTTTCATTTCTCTTTTCCTTTGGAGGCAATAATGGGCAGGAGAATAAAAATTCTGAGGAGCCATTCCAAGTGATCCACCATGAAGAAAGAATAAAGAAACGTATAGTACAAATGGAAGAAGAACATTATGAGAGAAACCAGTTGAATAATAGGAATCAGGAGAATTCATCAAGCATTCATGCTTCAATGCAAGATCTTCTCCATCAAGGGCCAATAAGGAAGAAATGCATTGGGAAAAGTGTAAAGTTAATCAAAGCTCAATTGCATGTAAATGAACATTGTCCAATCCAAAACAAAGGCGAAGATGCCGTAAGTAGACACAATGGGGCTTTCACTCTTTCTCTTGGAAGTAAGTCCCTTACATCTCAAAAAGGAATTGACAGAGAAGAGAAGCTATATAAATGCTTAGAATGGGAAAAGAATTTTAGAAAAAACAGGCAACTTACTGTCCATGAAAGGATTCACACAGGGGAGAGGCCATACAAATGTGTTGATTGTGGAAAATTCTTCTGTCGAAAGTCTTCCTTTACTTACCATCAAATAATCCACATAGGGGAGAAATCATATAGGTGCATGGAGTGTGGGAAGACCTTTGCACAAAGCGCTCATCTTTATTCACATAATGAGATCCACACAGGGGAGAAGCCATTTAAATGCATGGAGTGTGGAAAGACCTTTGCTTGCAGCACTCATCTTTCTTCCCATAAAAGGATCCATACAAGGGAGAAGCCGTTTAAATGCATGGAGTGTGGAAAGACCTTTATTTGGAACAGTCATCTTACTGCCCATAAAAGGATCCACACAGGGGAGAAGCCATTTAAATGCATCGAGTGTGGAAAGACCTTTGCTCGGAGCACTCAGCTTTCTTCCCATAACAAGATCCACACAGGGGAGAAGCCATTTAAATGCATCGAGTGTGGAAAGACCTTTGCTCGGAGCACTCAGCTTTCTTCCCATAAAAGGATCCATACAAGGGAGAAGCCGTTTAAATGCATGGAGTGTGGAAAGACCTTTATTTGGAACAGTCATCTTACTGCCCATAAAAGGATCCACACAGGGGAGAAGCCATTTAAATGCATCGAGTGTGGAAAGACCTTTGCTCGGAGCACTCAGCTTTCTTCCCATAACAAGATCCACACAGGGGAGAAGCCATACAAATGTATGGAGTGTGGAAGGACCTTTGGTCAGAGCAGCCATCTTACCTCTCATAAAAGGATCCACACAGGGGAGAAGCCATTTAAATGCATCGAGTGTGGAAAGACCTTTGCTCGGAGCACTCAGCTTTCTTCCCATAACAGGATCCACACAGGGGAGAAGCCATTTAAATGCATCGAGTGTGGAAAGACCTTTTCTCGGAGAACTCAGCTTTCTTCCCATAACAAGATCCACACAGGGGAGCAACCATACAAATGTATGGAGTGTGGAAGGACCTTTGGTCAGAGAAGCCATCTTACCTCTCATAAAAGGATCCATACAGGGGAAAAGCCATTTAAATGCATCGAGTGTGGGAAAACATTTAGTCGGAATGATGTTCTTACTATCCATCAAAGGATTCATACAGGAGAGAAACCATATAAATGCATGGAGTGTGGAAAGATCTTTATTTCGAAGCGTCATCTTACTGTCCATCAAAGAATCCACACAGGAGAGAAGCCATTTAAATGCATGGTGTGTGGAAAGACCTTTGCACAAAGCGCTCATCTTTATTCCCATAATAAGATCCACACAGGAGAGAAGCCATTTAAATGTATGGAGTGTGGAAAGACCTTCGTTCAGAGCACTCATCTTTCCTCCCATAGCAAGATTCACACCGGGAGAAGTCATATAAATGCATAGAGCGTGGAAGGGCCTTTGGTCAGAGCAGCCATCTTACCTCCCACAAAAGGATGCAAACGGGAGAAGCCATTTAAATGGATGGAGAATAGAAAGACCTTTGCTCAGGCAAGTGGACTTGCTTCCCATAAAAAGATCCACATCGGAGAAGCCATTTAAATACATGGAATTTGGAAAGACTTTTGCTGAGGCCGGTGGTCTTACTTCCCATAAAAAGATCCACATAAGGGCGAAGCAATTTAAGTGAATGGAGTGTTGAAAGAGCTTTGCTCAAAGCAACAGTCTTACTTTCCATAAAAGGATACACACAGGAGAAGTAATTTAAATTAATGAAGAGTGGAAAGAGTTCTAGTCGAAGTGGTCACTTTAGTTCCCATAGTGAAATCCTCATGGGGTAGTGACATAAATGCACGTAGTGTAGAACGATCTTTTACCTAAGAGGTCAACTTACTTCCCATTAGATGGTCCACATGAAATAAAACACAAATGCATGGAACGTGGAAAATATTTTGATGATGATGATTCCCTTAGTTCTCATAAGTTTCCACCCTTGGGACAAACTTTACAACTTCATGGAATGGGGAAAGAGCTTCAGTTATAGTGTTTCTTCTGCTTACCATAACAAGATGGAAAAAATGATGTGAATGCATGGAATCCATCAGTGGAACCACACAAGAATAGCCTTATCAATTCAGAGTCTCAATGGGAATAGTAATCTAAAATCTAATACAAAGGTCTACCTGGATAATAATTAAATATTATTAAATGTTAAATAATTAAATATCATTTGATATGATCCAAATAAGACAAGGTGAAGACTCAATCCTTTCTTATGCTTTTAGCTAGGTATCTAAGTAAAAAATGAGAACCAGTGGAGATTAAGGGCATTAATAGGTCTGAAAGTGATATATAGATATCAGTATTTAAGTGATGCAGATTCCCCAATCATTTCAAGAAATGATGAATATATCCAGAAGAGCAAAATTGCATGAAAAAATGCAATTGGTCCTAAATCCCTTATTATAGCATGAGCTTTCCTTTACTTAATCTTGTCACAATCTGCCTTTCTGCCGTGTCACATTATCTAATGCAAGTAATAGCTGAGAGAGAAAACCAGAAGGAGAATGGGGTTATAGTGATGCTGAATTAGAAGATGCAATTCGTAGGCTCTGTGTCCTAACTGTATAGTGATCTTTCCTCACCTCACGTTGGCTCCAAAATAATATTAAAGAGAGAACTAAAGTGTGCTGCTGTAAGACAAACTGAAGGGAAAGTACTTTTGGAAACTGGGCCCAGAAATACAATTGGGATAAGCACTCCTGCTATGTGTGGGAGATGTCTGCTACATCTCATTATGCTGCCAATCACAAAATAGTTACTGCTTCTTGGACATTAAAATAATTGAACTCAAGACTTGTTTCTACTGTGTAAAATAGGGATGAGACAGGCAATAGAAACAAAGTATTTTTAAGTGGAAAGTTTTTGGCAGGGTTCCAAATGATGAAGCCAACCAAGCAGACACCTTCGAGACATTCTGATTTTTTAATGTAAATATTAAGTATGTCACTTCGTCACAACTGAAAGCAAAACCAGTTCTGGCCCGAACCCACCCAAACCCCTATAGTAAAAGCATAGAATTCTTCCTCCCTTTTGTTCAGGTCACATTGCCCAAACAAGGTGGATGTTATGACCCAGGAGGGCAAGACTAGGCAGGCCTTGACAGAGAGTTGTTTATTTGTCTTGGGAAGGTTAAACAAATGGCCCCTATCAGGCCCCATCTTCAGTCTCCCAAACAACAGCCCATAGATTACCCAGTAAGCCCCCAAGGCAGAAGTCTAGGTATAAGGCAAGGGCAGTCTTTAGAGCAAGGCAAAGCTCCAAGAGGAGTAATTTCCACAGTGAAACAACATGCAAATGCAGTTCACAAAACAAGATCACAGTTCAAATTAAAAGGTAAAGAGTACTTCTCAAAACAAGACAGGGTCCAAGGCAAGGTATGTCTGAAGGGAGAATCTTCAGGGCTAGAGCAAGCCAAGGATAGTCCATAGCAAAGCGAAAGCAATCTTTGACACACACAGCAAAAGCAGACTTTCATGCAGGGCAAAAGTTGTTCTTAAAGGAAAGCAAAAGCAGGCAAAGGGAGAGTAATTGGAAAACAAACATTTGTTCCTGGCAAAAAACCCTCCTCATGGTGTCTCCTTAAATGTTACTCTCCAGGTGGACCTCGTGAGGAGGGTGTGCCACCCTCCTCCCACATAGGGGCATGAACATAAGTGGTGTCCACCCAGGTGAAGTCCTCCGGTCCATAGCCTTTCCACACCACTAGGTACTAGAACTGCCCCCTCAACTGGTGGGAATCCTGAATGCTGTCTAACCCGTACTCCTCTGCTTTTTGAAGGGTTACTGATCCTGGTGGCAGGGGAGCCTGTCAATGCAGACTGTTGACCAGTACTGGTACTAGCAACAACCGATGGAACACTGGGTGGATTCTCATGGTACGCAGCAGAATGAATCAAAAAGCAATCAGATTAATCACTGCTTTGACTGGAAACAGGCCCAAATAGCAGTGATCAAAATTTTTGGATGGCTGAGATGTCAGCAGGTACCGTATGGAGAACCAAACATTGTTGCCCACAGCTAGTGTGGGAACATCTCTAGGATGCTGATCTGTGAATCTTTTATAGTCCACCTTGGCTGTCTTTAGCTGGCTTCTCACCACTTGGTGCATGGCATGAAGTTCTTGGAGGACAGTATCCACAGTAGGTAATGGGAAGTCCAATAGAGCCAATGGGAAGAGTTGTGAATGTAACACACAGCTCATGAAAAATGGGGACACTGGTGGAGGCATGCTGGGAGTTAATAAGCAAACTCCGCCAATGCCAGCACCTCTGCCCAATTGTCCTGCTATTGGTTGCTGAAAAGTCTGAGGTACTATTCCAGGATGGTGTTCACTCTCTTTGTTCCCCATCAGTTTCCAGGTGATGGGCCAAAAAGATGGGCCATTCTCACCACTCTCTGCACTGTCTTCCTGTCTGAAACAGTGATGCCTCCAAACCAGACTGTGATGCTGTATGACAGAATGCTCTCGATTGTCCCCCTGTAGAAAGTGGTCAGGACAGGGGAAGGAAGATGTGCTCCCAAATGCAGACAGGCAATAAGAGCTATACAGAGGGAGGCAATGGGGCAACTCCAAGGGAGAAGGAGAAGGCATTGAAAAGCCGCGCCTTGGGGCTGCATAATAAAAAGGGAAGGTGGGGGCGGTGCTGGTTGCTGAAGGCAACCGTTTGCAAAGGACTCAAGGTTCATGGAATCCTGTTTTGTTTGCCTTGCTTGTGAACAATTCTGTTTGAATTGTGTTTTGTTTGCTTTTGGGACATTTTGCAGGTCTGTACCTAACTAATAAAAAGTTTGTTTTCTCTACTTGTTAACTTGAATTAACAAGGACTCACATATACATAGGAAATAAATATTAAATACTGTCCATCTTGAATATATAACAGAAGGAGGAAGCTTTAGAGTTCACAAGGTTAATGCTGTATGGAATGAAACTATGGCTGAATCTGGATGTTCTGCTACGGATACCACGAAGCCTGCTCCCAGAAGGTAACAAGGAAAACAGGTTGTGAAGAGGATGTGTAGTGTCCCAGATAATCTTACGGACCCTGCTCAAGCAACGCTTCTGCGCTATGTCCTGGATGGGAGGGAGGGAACAGCCAATGATTAATTTCAGACATTCTCACCACTCTCTGCACTGCCTTCTTGTCTGAAGCAGTGATGCTTCCAAACCAGACTGTGATGCTGTATGACAGGATGCTCTTGATCGTCCCCCTGTAGAAAGTGGTCAAGATAGGGGAAGGAAGATGTACTTTTCTCATGTGACGCAGAAAATGCAGGCGCTGCTATGCCCACTTCACCAGTTTCTCACTGTTGAGCGACCAAGCCAGCCTACTTGTTGGCTGCACACCCAGGAATTTGATGCTGGTAACCATCTCCACAGGTGAATCATTTATGCACAGAGAAGTGTGGCTGTGCCTGTCTTTTCTGAAATCGACAATGATCTCTTTGGTTTTTCTGCTATTTAAAACTAGGCTGTTTTCCTTACATCAGTTCACCAACCCCTCAATCTCCTTGTGGTAAGCTTTTACCTTGTCATCCTAAATAAAGCTCACTACTGTTGTATCATCTGCGAACTTCACAATATGGTTGGTGGCAAACCTAGCACAACAGTCATGGGTCAACAGGGTGAACAGTAGCGGACTTAAGACGCAGGCCTGAGGAGAACCTGTGTTCAAGAAAATGGTATTAGAGGTATTTGTTCCAACTCGTACATGTTGGAGCCTGTTGGTAAAAAAGTCAAGAATGCAGTTGCACAAAGGAGTGTTTAAGCCTAAAAGGCCCAGTTTGTCTACTAGATGCTGGGGAATGATTGTGTTAAACTCCGAATTGAAGTTGACAAACAACAAACGCACATGAATATTTATTTCCTCTAAGTGCTTCAAGCTCAGATGGAGAACGGAACAAATAGCATTTGGTCGGTAGGCAAACTGAAACGGGTCAAATGCTGGCGGGAGGCTAGATATAATAATGTCCTTTCTCAGCTTCTCAAAGCATTTCATGATGGTGGATGTCAGTGCAACTGGTCGGTAATCATTCAGGCCTGTAATTGTGGACCTTTTTGGCACTGGCAAGATGATGGCTGTCTTAAAACACGATGGGACCTGCCTGCTGCAATGAGAGGTCGAAAATATATATGAGAACACAAGCCAGCTCCTCTGCGCATTCCCTGAGGACACGTCCAGGGATATTATCTGGGCCTTACTATGTTTAGTAAGAATCAGCCATTGTCCACCTCCACACTTTGTAAAAATTATTTGTCATGGTTCCGAAAGGAAGCAGCTTTTCAAAGAATTTTGAGGCTTATTCCTCTAAAAGAATCTTTTATTATTCTGCATAGCTTTGGCACTAACAAAGTTAAGCCAAAAACTGAATCCTCCCTCCCCCAAACACCCGTAACAAAGCATAACTCACTCCTTCATTTTACAGTCATCAATCACATTCTCCAATTAATGTGAAGTGTGAAGTGCCCCTCCCGTTGCAGCTAAGCTGACCTTGGCCACACTGTGCTCAGACATTGTTATGATTAACTAGCATATTTTCCCATCCACTAGACTATTACTATCTGCTTTAACTCTAGAAGTGCTATACAGGCTAAATAAAACAGGTTTGCTTCTTCATATATGGCAAGCAAGAACATCCAATGTTAGTAGTTTTGACATTGTTATTTTTACAGCTGTTTCCACGTCTTATCTTTTTTGATAATTTGAAGTACAAATCAAGGTAGTCAACAGGCACAATTGAAGAAAATATTTCAGTTGCTATGCCAGGTTTCACCACAAGATGTCCCCAGCAGACCATATAATCCTTTCCCAGATGCCAAATAGCCTTTTATTGAGTTAAAACACACAAAAAAACCCCCAATATTTTCCAAAGTTGATAGTTAAAGAAAACGTTAGGTCTCTATAATAAAAAGTTTTAGGACCCCATGGTATCCACAAGACCAAGATCCAATTATTTGGTTGTTGAAGTTAATTGTTCTTTTTTTTTTTTCTTTCCAAGCTTTAAAATCCCAAGTATGCAAACAATGCTGTTTTGAGAGCAGGGAAAAGAGTTTCAAGGAGCTTTCACAGGAAGGTGGTTAGGGAAAACGAAAGGTAAAAAAGGGTCTCACCCAAATCCTCCACTCCTGCTTCGTATGCTTAGCTGTTATTTGGATTTTCGGTTGGTGCGACTTGGTGATCGGCC